CAATTGCTAGTATTATTATATTTCATAGCACCGGGCCTTGTTTTATATTTTCAGCTAGGGCCCCATATTTGTTGGGCTGCCCGCCTACCAATGAACCATTATTGTAAGCTTACAATGGCTCATTTCTAAAAACTACTTTCCCAGCGTTGAAAAACATTCAAAAGGCTCTTGATGCAGCCGAACCATTCCCCAAAATGCTGATGTCTATGACGCTGGTTCATTGGCGAGTAGTTTCCGATCAGATAGTAAGGAACTTATGATCAATATAGTCTTTTTTTCAAGACAACACTGCCCATTTTGTCATCAACATCTACCCCTTCATCAATCTATATGGAAATCCTAATTTTTCTGTCAAGTTGGTTATTTTTTATGGTTGCGAAAAACCAGTTAATGAAAAAGGGGCTCAATAGACCAATATTTTTTATGCAAATCTGGACTATTCACTGGGGAAGCCAATCAAGGACTAGGGAACACATATCCACCCTCAATGCAGGGGATACTTAATTATGCCCAATGAATTATTTTACCTAAATTACTACTAATTTCCAGACATGCCCAGATAAGTTTTGAACATATGAGATCATTTTGTAATTATTGAGTTATGGGGTTATTTTGTTACTATATAAAAATTAGGGTCGCTAAGTAATGGAATACATGATTCTTTCGTAAGTGTAAGAAAAAGGATCATTTCAAACCAGTAGCGATTGCGTAACTAAATAGATAATAAATAGATAGCTGATAGCATGATTTTGAATGTAGATCTATTTTCGATGAAATTTATAAAGAAATTCCTGCAACGTTCTCAAAGTATAAAACTGGATTAGGGTCAATCATTAATGGATGTCATTAACCTTTTTTTTTGTGAAGGGTTATAATAGAGCTCTTTTTTTTTTAAAGGGTTATGATTAGTCTTTTAAAATTTTATACACTATTTATATTGGTTTTGACCCTTTTGTATTTGATGGATTTTTTCAATGTCAAAAATAAGCTTAATAAACATATTACTTTTATAGATTGAAGAGAAAAATTAAGGCTTGTAAAAGTCCGCTGCCCACCCAAGAATAACTCTCTGGCTCCACCCCTGCTTACTTCTTGTATCACTCAAAGATGCCGAGGCGCTAAACATGAAAATTATGGTCAGGGAGATTGGATGGCAACATAGTGACTGGATTGAGCTTTAGAATTCCTACAATATCATTGATACCCCGGAGTTAAACTAATACTATATTAACTTCCATCGGGTGGCCCATGGTGTGGATTGAGCTTGAAACGAAACAGTAAACTCGAATGTTCTAGTTTTGACCATGTTGTCCCAATCCACACAAACATTACTCGTCATATAAGGTATTGGCTATTTGGACTTGTGAGTAGACTATAATCTTTGGATGGATGCAATCACACATAAATATTGTGCACTGGTTCAAACATGACTTCTCTTGTAGGATTTGGGATCTTTAAATAATATTTACCACGAAGGCTTTCCCATTGGAGCCATCTTGGTAGGTTTCTTTTTCCTCTTCTTTTATGTTTCTCTAAGTCGTAGAAATTTTGATTTGTTCATTGTGGATGCCTTGCTTGGCCTTTTACCCAGTGCGATTCTGCATGGTTCTTACAACTTCTTCATTCTTGGATCTGAACTCACAATTTGAATTTGAGCTATTGCATGAATTTTTCTCCCTTTAGATAGTTTTTGCTCAACAAAGGCCATAAGCCGAGCTCCAACCACTACAAGAAAACAAGGCATTTTAGTCAGATTTTTTTTGCTTTGGTTGAATTCTAAAGGCAAAAAATTGAGTATTTGACTCGACAAGAGTCCGGATGCAAAAGAAAGTGTTGAAAACTTTAATTTAGTACGATGTTGTTTGATTTATTTTTGGTCAGATGTAGTTTTATTGATCTCAAGAAAACAAGGGATGTTGTGCAGGACAAATAATTTACATCAAAACGTCTTTGTTTTATGTTTATTTGTCACAAAATGGTGTCATTTTGAAAACCCTACAAAATCCTGTTCCCCTTTCCTCCTCCTCCTCCTCTCTCTTTCTCTCTCAATCGGGCATCAGAACCTCAACACCGTTACCTCACCACTACCACCACCAGCTTAGCACCTCACCACCACCGACGACACAACAGAAAAACCAAGGGCAAAACACCACACATATCTGCCCTTTCTCACGCCTCTCTTATTCTACCCTTTCTCACGCCTCACTGATATCAACCACCTCCGACGACAGCCACTGTCGCCATCAGCGATCACTCTGCCCTTTCCCTCCTCTCTAGGTATTCGGTTTGTCTCTCTTTTCTCTCTCTCATTCTCTAATCTTTCTGCTTTTTCACCCCTCGGCCAAAACAGTGATTCCAAGAACAATGGCCAAAAACCATAGTTATATTGAATACCCAAATTAAGATAAAAAAGCCCTAGATTTCTCAAGCTTCACATGGGGTGGACTGGAGTTGCCAATTAGACCCAACCGAACTAGGCGTTGGCCAGTGCTATTACACTCACTCTCTATTCTTCCCTGTGTTAGCCTAATGTAGATGTACATAGAACAACTAAGGCTTTAGAACTTAGTAACTTACAATCGTGACCAGGCTATCTGAGTATTCTGAAGTTTTGCTCCTGTTGATTTGCCTTCCTGTAAATATCTCTAACAAAAGCACACCAAAGTGTACACATCTGGCTTTTCTTTTGAATGGCCATGGGCTAGGTACTCCGGAGCCACGTAACCTCTGCAAACTCAGCAAATCAATTCATTGCATATTTTAGCAATTACTCAATGATCATATCGTTGAATCTACCACAACATTGCTGACTGTTGGAAATAATTAGCAAAGAATTGAAAGCATACTGACAGTTTTCAAAAAACAGTTTTTCTTGTAGTGAACCCTCTCATCATGCCCCTAGTGGACTTGGATCAATGACATTCCCACACGGAGATGCGAGTAATACTACTTGGGAGTAGGGATGTTAACCGAGTCGTGTCTGGATCATGTAATATTAGATTCGTATTGGATATTAGTCAATTTTAACATGACATGTTTAACTAGTCATGTTGGATGATCCGACATTAACCGGGCTTGTTTGTTTGTGATGTCGTGTTCAAGTCAATACTCGTAATCCCTAAAGCAGAAAATGGAGAATCAATACCCTCTCCTCTAAATTAAACTAACTTCCAGTAGGTTTTCCATATGCTAAATATTTAGTCGATCAAATACTTGTGAAATGAAGTAAAAAAAATCCCCTAATATCATAATGGTTTATACAGTACCATGTATAAGACAGAAAAAAAATGAAAACATAAAAAAAAAAATCGTACCAGATAAATATGTTGTCGTGACGTGTCAAATTCGATTATAGGCAAAGAATAAATGTTTAATTCTTAATTACCGTCTCGTACTAATTGGGAAACCGAGAACCAATCAAAGTGACATGTATGTGTAACTATTATAGTCGACAAAATTAAGTATGACTGTTTAAAGATTTATTTTATGTTTTACTATTTGGTTTGAATTAGAATTTAGTTAGGCTCGATTTTCAGAAAGATTTAGAATATTCATCACTTATTGCAAAAAAACTCCATTTTTAGTAACTTTTGTGTGATTAGAACTTTAAATCTGTTGTGGGAGTGTTTACCTTATTAGACGTTCCTATAAATTTTATTAGACGTTCCTATAAATTGTCCCTATACACTAGTTATTGCATCATTTTTTTCGATAGAATTTCTCTTATTTTTTTGTGCAACCAAGTTTATGAGTTTGTTATAGACATAAACAATGGTAATTTCTTTGTATCTTTGTTATGTGGTATCGGAATAGTGTAATATAAATGTCCTATCTCAATTATAAACGTGTTCATTGATAAACATAAATAAGAGATAATTATAAAATTTGTGGTTTTCAAGTCATATTGGTAAAAATAAACATATAATCGTAAAAGAATAAAAATGCAAAAGCAAACAAAAAAATAGAATTTTTGAGAAAAGAATATTATCAAGAACATGTCTAAATTTGCGTTTATATAGATTCAAAGACAATAGCAACTAAAATATGGTAAATGATACTTTACATGTTGAAAAATCTTTAAATTCTCAATTTCATATCCAAAAAAATAAAATTTTCAGGTTGCACCATCAATCAAATAAATAAAAAAAGCAATATGGTCAATTAGCTTTGCTGGATTGGATATTCGATTGTTAAATGGATTCAAATATGGACTAAAATTTTAAAATCCGTAGAATAAATGGATCGGATTTGGACTTGAGTTTTTTTTATTGACATTACACTTTGACCTCATTAAATATGGACTTAATGTCACTTTGCCCACTGAACTACATTTTTTATGTTGCCTCCTCAATTATTTGAATTCATTTACATTGCCTCAATTATTGGAATTAATTTCAAATTGTCTCAAACATAAACGTTCGTTATCTTTTAGCTTAAAATTGTCGACGAGTCTAGGAGAAAGTAAAACAAATACATGGTTTGGGGGACCAAAATAAAATAAATTTTCGTCAAAGTTGTAACGAATGTTAACAATTGAGGGAAAGTAAAACCAATAACATAGTTGAACATTCAATGTGAGAAACATGATAGTTGAGGGGATAACTTAAAAAAACTTATAATTTAAGGAGTCAAAGTATAATTTACCTAGTGTCATTCATTGGATTTGGTACCTTCCCAAATTCTTGTTTACTTTAATTCTAATTTATATTTTATTTCTTAATTTAATTACTAGTATACCTGAAATCAAGTTTATTTTAATTCTAACTTATATTTCATTCCTTGATTTGATTAGTATTCCTAGTATTGGTAGGCTTTTGAATTTTCATATATAAAATTTGCATCGAAACGGCGAGACATTCGAGTTTTTGGTTGATTAATCTTATTTCTTGGAGTTTTCTCAGCAATTGTCCATTGTTCTAAGAATCTTCAAGGGTTTTGAAATTTTTTGAGCCAGATTCATCCACTACATATGCATTGTGAAGTATTGATTACATGTAGACATGGCAAACAGTAAGTACGAGTTCGTGAAGAACGCTGAAGTAGAAGACAAAATTGTGTACCCCAACTTGATCGTTGTTCGAATCGGCGGCCATGATTTTCGTCGGTATGTATCATTCGACTCCGTAAAAATCGAAGTTTATATTGTTTTGTTTCTAAAACATTCCAAAAAAATTGGTCAAAGATGTCTAAAACACCTCGAAACCTTAGAATTTGGATATAAAATAACTGATTCATTTTGATTTCCATGGAAACATGAAACTGAAACGTTTTCACTGTTTCGAAACGAAAATTTTAATGTTTGCCGGCGTTGTTACCCTCAAAACTCACAATATGAGATTCGTATACTCCAATATGTGTGCATGTATGTTTTGTGAGTACGTTATAAGGACAATATATATCTATTTTTTTTGTTCTTTTGATGACCTAGATCATGTTCAGTCTTAAATTTGCAAACTATTATAAATCCTGGAACTGGGCTGTTTGTGAAGATGCCTTTTGTGGAGCTATATTTTTCATTATTAGTAGTAAATTTGTAAAATTATTAGACTTTCAGCTGCATGAAGTTAAAATTTAGTTTCTGGGATTGTCTGCGACTATATTGCAATTGGAACTAATTTTTCTAATATTTCACAGATTTTCCAAAGTTCATGAGTTTGAGAAACCAAATGATGAAAGAGCCTTAAATTTGATGAATGCTTGTGCAACTTCTGTTATTGAAAAGTTTCCAGATATAGTTTTCTCATATGGATTTAGTGATGAGTACAGGTACAATGCTTAAAATATATATGTCTCTATTTTGAATGCATTGTTTTTTATTATGCTTTCACTTATACTATACTTTGTTGGATGAATCTTTATATTATTGGTACTATTTTTTTGCAGTTTTGTTCTAAAGAAGGAAACCGAGTTTTATGAGAGGCGTGCCAGGTTTTTATTTAATTTTGTAGCCTTCAGCTTTATTGGTTTTACAAGGTAGTAAAACTTTTTTTCTTCTAATTTTCGTTGGTAAATGTCTTTTACATAATTTACTAAAAAATTCAATTGGAGCACAAAGCCCTCGACATAGTAGAATGGTACAAAAGGATACATGTAGTGGACCCTAATTAGTTGGACACTTTGGTTTGGATTGCCATAACTAGTTTTTGACCTTTGATGTAGACCGATTGTGGTACTTGAAAGTATTTATTTAGAGCTGGCGGAGTAAATTTGAGATTGCATCATGTCTTTGAAGAATATTGTCCTTGTACTAGTAAAATACAAAAAGGTTGTTGGATCTTCATTTTCCTTGTGTCACCTGTTTTCGTGCTTTCCTTATGTTTTCTTGCTTATCACTTAGACATTTTCTTCTTTCGTTTTCTATGAACTTCATTTTTTTTTTTCACTCTTTGTTGATTAAGCAATGAATGTGAACTGTGATGTATACATAGCATATTACACACGGACTAAGGGGGTACGAAACTTCAAATAGCATGATGTCCTGGGGTGGGGCCAAGAAATTATTACAATTTTTTTCCCAGTTGATAAATGTAAGGTGATACATTTATATTTATTTAAATTATATTTGATAATTTAAAAATTCATCGAACACAAAAGGATAAAAAACTGGGATATACAGTGCGTACAAATAACAACAAAGTGATTAATTGAAACCCTTTGCAAAAAAATAAGGCTAATTGCAGCCATTTAAAGCTGACCCCGATGAGGTTTCATATTTAAAAAGCGTTGCATGCTAGCTTCATTATTAATGTCATCAAAAATATATATTTTTTATACACATAATCATGTTATGAATCTACCATTTATCACTTATTCGGTTACAAAGCAGAGTATTTACAATTTTTGTAGATGAAAATACTATCTCTTCTATAGTTGCAGTCGTAATTGGTAAAATCAATGTCAAAGTCTTAAGAGTAATGCTAAACTAGCCAAAAAGAGGACCAAAAATAGGGACCAAATTGATATAGTATTATCATAATGGGAAAAAATTAAATTTCAAATGTGTAAAAATGAGACCAACACCACCATTATGATAATGCCATGTCATTTGGTCCCTATTTTTTGTCCCTTTTTTTGGTCAATGTAGCATTACTCAAGTCTTAAATAGGTAAACTAATCCCTACTAGTTTTGAAAACTCAATGCTGGAATAGACATAAATAATGTGTCAAGAGTTGCCTAATGTTGTAGTATTGTTGCAAACTAATTGAACTTCAGATAATGGCAAGTTGCATCTCACTAGAGGTAAATATCGTCGAAGAGTCGCATAGTCATCGAAAGTCCTCCTACCTCTCTTGTTTTTTTGAATTAAAATCTCCAAACGGTTTTATAATTTTAGGTTGTGTCATTGATTTTAATATACATAAAAAATGACTTTCTATTTCACTACACAATGACCCCAATTTTAATACAATAACAAAATTATCATACTTATTTTGTAAAGCTCATGAAATGAATTTAATATGTCCAAAACATATTTGGACATTTACGAAGCGTCCTCAAAGTTAATAATCTATACCCCTAATAAAAGTACTTTAATATGAAAAACTTTTGTTTTTCTATTTTACTCTTATAAAAAATTACAAAGACTACTCTATCGTTTCATAATTAAATATCTAAATTATCTATTATCTCCTTGTTTATTTAATTCTATAAATTACCTGTAACATCTCTTTTAATTATCTATTCTCTCTATGTAAATATTAATTTCTATAAAAATTTTTGATTGACTATATTATTTTAAAAAAAATATGCATCATCATATTTTCAATAAAGTGTTTAAAAAACTTTCAAAAACTCTATCAATCTAATATTACTCATCTCATATATAAAGAGAACATTATCCGCACACATGAAAAAAATTTGTTTATCTATTTTACCCTTATAAAAAATTACAAATACCACAATATCCTTTCATAATTAAATATTTAAATTATCTATTATCTCCTTATGTATTTAATTTCTAAATTACCTCTAACATCTCTTTTAATTATCTATTCTCTCTGTATAAATATCAATTTCTATGAAACTTTTTGATTGACTTTATTATCTTAAAAAAATATGCATCATTTTATTTTTAATAATGTGTTTAAAAAACTTTCAAAAACTCCACCAATCTAAAATTACTCATCTTATATCCAAAGATAACTTTATCCGCAAATATGTTTATTTTCTTTTTCATTAATAAGTTTAATCCTTTAATTTATATGATAAAAAATAATTGTACATATAGATTTTAAAATCAATTTATACTACATAAATATAATTTTTCAGTCATAATAAACTTTTTAAGTTGTATTAAGATTTTATGTGAAAATAGCTTGTAGTGTATTATTAAGTAAAACTTGAATTTTAAAAATTTTGATATGTTTTAAAATATATAGTATATAGTAGTATATTAAATCTTATTTTAATTGATCTAACTAATTCTTAATTACGGTAAAGTTCCAATATAAGTAGTATATTGACAAGTACTTTGATTTTATTCAAAGAATTATAAGTGAAATCCTAATCGAATGAATTCAAAAAATTTAATTTCTCAAACATCACTAAAAAATACTCTCAATCACAAAATTCTAAAAAAAATAGAACTTTAACTATTTTTTTGTATCTTTTTTCTTATAGTTAGAAAAACGAATTTTAGAAATATACAAAGTTTTTATAATCCTATAATAGAATTTGAACAGTGAAAAATTAAGTCTGGTAAATTTAAGATAATATTTAAATTTAGATACACATATTAATATATTATATCAATTTTTATGTACGAAAACTATTTACGTGCAATACACGTGGTATATTGCTAGTAATTATATAGATGTGTATCTATACTTATTGATATTATAAGAGAATAATAGAGTGGACATGACTAAATATACTTAAGAAATATTTTAAACATATATATGTAATCTTAAGAGGAAAAAATTGAGGGTGGGCACGAATCCCTTGGTGGTTCCACCCATGATGATGTCTAATCTTTGGTGTTTGTGTCAGACGACCAGCCTCATTTTTTAGCATGGAGAAATGATCACTTGATAGTTCATACTAACTATGAATGTTATCATCTGTTAATAACAAGGGACTATAAACAGTGCTAGATCCACGGTAATAGTTGTTGAAAAACTTGGTGGTAGCCTTGTTGATTGCTAGGGGAGATTGATTGACAAATATTCTTAATGTTGCTTACATTTTATGTCTTCAATTATTATTGTGACATTTTTTTGCTGGTAATTTTGACTTGAGTTCAATGTTATTAAAATTTAACTTGATTCTTGAACATTGATTGAACATATGAATGCAAAAAGGTTGAAAGTAGTAAACTCCCTCAAATTTAATCAAACTTCTGCTAGAAAGCTTCATTCCTATCAATTTTAGAACACTGAATCTGCAGGACTTCCATTGAACACGTGTGGGGCAGAACTGTTATGATCTGTATTGCTGTCTTTTTTCCTGTTTGATAGAATAAAGAAGGAAAAGATGATGGAAAAGAGAAGAGGAAGAAGAGGGAAAAATTGTAAGAACTTTTGAAAGAAGAAGAAATGGGAGAAAGCCCGGAAAAGGCTAAAATACCTTAATCCACTAGGAAAGTAGAGAAGAAAGGAGGAGAGAAATGGGAGAAACCTAGAGTCCACTATGAGCCTTGAATCTACAATTAGGAAAAGGAGTAACAATAGAGAGATCAAGATTAGAGTGAAAGAGAGAGCAAAAGGGAGAAAAGATGAGAGATAGGTAGCCAAGGGCTCATTCAAACGCTCTTAGATCTCACATCTTAGGGCTGTTTTTTCATGTACAGCTTTGAGACAACTTTATAGTATCTGTAAAACCTTGGAAATCTGGTCAAATTACCAAGTGACCCCCTAACTCGTTATAATAACATATAAGGCCTTAAAATCATTCCTGGACACTAAAATCTACCCTAAAATTGAAAATACAGCTAACTTATTAACCAAAACTACTGTAAAACTCTGATAACCAGCAGCTCCTGCAATTATTCTTTTCCTTTGTAAAACCACATCACCTCATTTTTATATTTGTAGCAATCCATTGTGTGGGATGGAAATCTTGAAGAAAACTTGTGAGAAGGATGCTATTTTAATTCTTGAATAGAAAGTGATGAGAACTGGAAAATAACAATTGAGAAGAAAAAATAGCGTAGAGAAAGAGAGGACAATGCCCTTACATAATTAATTATGGTAATCCACCCAAGCATGCAATTGACTGTAGACCATATCCTGCAAACCCCAAAAGGAAGAGAAATTTGGCAGAGAGAGAGAGAGAAGAGAGACTGTAATTATTCCTTCATTGGGGTTGGCTTAGAAAACAGTAATTGGTTTCTCTGCTTTCACTGGGCAGCCCCCTTGGTGTTTGCTATATGAATTATTAGTCTGCCATTCAGATCTATGGAGAGCCATATCCTCATTTGATTCTTTAGCATTTATGTGTTCCTAAGGCTCAATATTTCTTTGTATAGTTATTGTCAACTTGGAAACAGAAATGTTTTAGAAACATTTAGGAAACAGGATGGAAACAAAGAAAGAATTTAGAAATTTGTTTGCGAAACATTGATTGAAACACCTCGAAGCATTGGAATTTCGACAATCAATCATTGATTCGCTTATGTTTCCAATGTTTCGGTCATTTTGAAACAAAAAATTTAGTTCTTGGTCTTTGCTCACTGCTTGAACCATGTTTTATTGGCTTTCCAATTTGCTTCATGCATCTTCATTTTGTATCAAATGAATCCTCCGTAGGTTTCCACCTGTTCACTTACCAGAAAAAAAATGGTTTCCACTTGTTCAACTAGTAGTCTTGATTGCATGTGACATGACTATAATCGATTACTTTCCCTTTCCTCATCTATAGAGAAATTGCTTCTAACCCATCTTTTGTGGACTTTTCAGTCATCCATCTTAGTTGGTTACACTTAAGTGTCGAATACGTTCCAAAACTTCCAATCATGATGCACTACTACACATCCCTGCTCTTGTAGTCATTGTACACATAATAGCAAACAAATATTGATCCTGCATTGTTTTTTACTACCAAAACATTATAGAGGCACTTCTTTGCTATTAACATCCAGCTCTGGTTTTACAGATATGTTGCCTGTGAGTCTTCACGTTAAGTATGACTGGGTATCTTGTCCAGTAATATTTACGATGCCCTCATTTATGCTTTTATTTGACTTAATTAGTATCTCGGCCTTCTACTTGTTAATCTAGAATCTTAACAAATAAGTACAATTATATGCTACCTGTTGTAGGAGGGGCTTTCTTTTCCTCATAAAGCCCATTTGTCCCGTTGGAAAAATAGCATAAAAACCTAGACGGCATAGGTGTCTACCTGACAATATTATAACAACTCTTCTGGAATTCTTTACTTTTCTGCATGACAGTTACATGATAATTATGTTTTTTATTTTTTCCTCTTTTGGTGAATAGTTTGTTATTACCTCGCTACTACTAAAGTTGGAAATTGACTTTTCAGCAAAATTCTCTCTGTTCTTGTAACTTTTTTCACATCCACATTTGTCATGAAATGGGAAGAATTCTTTCCTCAGAAAGAGTTGAGGTTTCCCCCTTCATTTCAGTCGCGGGTCATAAGCTGTGCTTCAATGGAGGTTCTTCAGTCATATCTTGCCTGGAGACAAAGTGATTGTAAGTATTAGCATTGGGACGGATTCACCAGTTGTATTGCTCCTCGTGTTAATTTATTCAGCTCTGTCGTACAAATTTAATTGAAAAAGATGGAAAGATTTTGCGCCCTAATTGATGAAATATCATTCATATGCTCTTTTGACAGGTCATTTAGAAAACATGTACAACACTTGTCTTTGGATGCTGATTAAATCTGGAAACACTGAACTAGAAGCACGAGAAATCGTGAAGGCCGAAATAGGAGCAGAAAACAACTTGAAGGTGCTAACATGTAAATATATGACTCTATTGCTTTATTTTTATTATGCCCTTGATTTAGTTTATTTACTTTGTTTAAAGTGTTGTGCTGCATGGAGTCAAACTCATTCTTGTTCAGTTGCAGAAGAAACATGTTTTTGAACTTTCTTTGTGGATCCATTTTTCTACGTAATATTGGCCTGTAGTTTGTTTCCGTGATAGCATAAACGTAATCTATATGTTAAAAATGCTTATCTTACAATAATGCCTTTGGAAGGGGGAGAAATGGAAAATGTTTAATGATAGTGACGTCAACCTGTAGCTTAAGAAGATTTAGTTTTAGTAGCTGCTTTTTGAGTGTTTCAAGTTCTTTGAGAGTTAAGGGGTGCCTTCTCTTTTACACACACATTAGGTGCTTGAGGTACCGAGGCTTGCTTTTGAATGGTCCTTTTGTTTCTGCTTGTACCTCTCTTGGTCGTAGGATTCTCTAGATTTTTCTTTTGATCTGCAATAGTTACTTAATTGTGCAAACTTTTCAGAAATAGTTTCTCCTCAGTCAAATTCAACTGAAAAAGTGTAGAATACGAATACCTGTTTAAGGACTAAAATGGATAATAAATGGCTACGAGCATTTCAGATAATTGGTTAACTCAATTTAATAAAGCTTTGTCCCAACTATTTGGGATCAGTTACCTGAATACTGTACTCTATCCAAAACCATATTTTCTGCTAAACCACATGCTATTGTATTATTTTTGCTAGCTCATTTAAAATTTACGTCTCTCTTGCTAGAGCCCTTGCATTGCCATCAGTAGGTATCACATGCATCTTCCTCATTGATAAAGTAATGCATCTGCCATAAAAATGTCTAAACCACCCAAGTTTCTCTTAATTTTCCATTATTAGTGCAACTTCTGCTGTGACACTGATACAGTAAGTTCTAATTGTTTACTTTTTGGTTTTACCACATAAATCTTAACCGTTTTTTGTAATCTTCATGGGTAGAATCCATTAGATCCCTTCCTGAGTTAGTATTTAATTTTCTTATGTTACCTTCCAGACCATTTTCTTGATATTCTTGTTTCCAGTGGAACAACTTGAGGGCTGATATAAACAAATGCTCCGATTTGCTTACTTTTTTATTCCAAATGTGTGTAGATTACCTTTCACAGGTTTTTGTCCCAGTACTTTTCCAGTCCCAAATCACACATGCACAATGGGCTTGCAAAATTGTCCACAGTTAGTATCTAATTAAGCTGTATCTGTCATTTTTGCAGGAAAAACAGAAGCACAAGCAAAATGAGCTACTTTTCCAAAAGTTTGGCATCAACTACACAGAACTTCCCAGCATATTTCGTCAAGGATCAAGCATTTTCAAGACAAAGGTTGCTTTCAATTTTTTTTCCTCTATGCTTTGGAAGAATTTTGATTCCAGAAAAAGTAGGGTATAAACTTACATGTTCATGGCAGCATAAGTGCTATAAATTGAAGTTTGGGGTTTTGGCAATAAAAAGGAAGCGAAGGTATTATGGAATTGTGCGTTCATGGCAACTCTTTGGTGTATTTGGATGGAGAGAAATGCAAAAAATTTAATAATCGCTATCTTCCTTCTGCACTAGTATGGAAAAAAATTGTTTTTATGGCTTCACTTTGGATTCACAGGAAGCTTTGGAAGTTTGCCTTTATCAGCAGGCTGCTTTATTTTAGCTTTTTCCTTGAGACCTTTCTTTGATATGTATCTTGTTTTTATTCATTTTAGGATATCTTGTCCTAAATATTGTAATTCGTTTTCTTCTTTCTTCTTTTCCATAATAAAATTCTTCTTTTATCAAAAAATAAATAAATTGAAGTTTGAGGTAAATATATGTTAATGGGCATAATTCATTAGGCACTTTAATAAGGCTATCAGAAGCTTTTAACTCACATTCGTTGGAACCGTATCCTTTGCGCAAGTTCATAGGTCACATTTCTCGAACCCTTTGTTGTTTTTTAAGATGTATAATCTTGACATAGAGCATCTGGTTAAGTGCATTCTTTTGGTGGTAATCTTAGTTTTTTTTTTTAACTTCATTTTTACAAATTTTTTGGTGAGGAAATCGTTGTTCATTTCTTGCAATTCAATATATTAACTTTTATGTAAGAAAAGTATGGGTTTGAACTGGGGTGCAGAGGCATTAGGTGTGTCTCTGCTGTGATAGAGTCTCCATTGTTTTGGTCTTGTGGTTTCATCACTCATGATTACTAATTGGTTGACAAATTTTTTTATTTCCTCAAACCCATGATTACAAACTCAAATGCATTGTTTTCTTCCTGAAGTATGTATTACTTAGTTTGATCTCTCCCTCTATCTATGCATTTTGAGACCACTTTCTTGCATTATGCCAGACTTGCAAAGGGACAAAACATTGGTTTTAGCTTGATTCACTCTTAGGTATTTTACTCTTTCCTTCCTCTTGTTTTAAGGTTAGAGATGGGCCTAATATTTTATTTGGGGAGGAATGGAGGATATTTGGGCAAGTCAGTCAAATTGTTTAATACTATTTTTTCACGTCTATATCGTCTTTCCTCTCTTCATGAGGTGTTTGTTTCTAGTTTTCTTTTTACTGTTTTTTTTTTTTTTTTTTTTTTGGGGGGGGGGGGGGAAGATTATTTTTCTTCTGATTTCCCTCTTTTTTGGCACCTCAATGGTATAGAAGCTTAGCTTCCTTGTTTGAAATTCTTCATACTCGCCATCCTTTTACTCATGATTGTAGAGTTTGGACAGTGTAGGAATCTGGTAATTTATCTTGCAGATCTTAAAGTAGAAGTCTCCACAAAAGTTAAAGCTTTGTGTGGTCGGTTTTTTTAGCGAGGTCAATATCAATGGTTTGTTACAAGTGAGAAGGCCTTACGAAGCTTTGAGTTCTGTGGAGACTTGACTACTCATTTGTTAATTTACTGTTCTTTTGTTTTTTTGTGGAATTGTTGGTCTATGTTTGGTGAGGTTTGGGTTTGTCCTATTGGAGTGGAGTTGTTGCAAATGAAATTGTGGGGTTTCGAAAAGACTAGACAAGCTAAGATTCTTTGGGATTGTGCGTTGATATCAATTCTTTAGTGTCTTTGGTTAGAGTGCAATTCAAGAATTTTTAAAGGTCGGTCTCTTGGTATAGAGTTAGAATGGGAAATAATTATTTTGTTGGCTTCTTTATGGACCAAAGCCCCTGGAATTTTAGGGGTGCCTTTATCAGAATTTTAAACAGAATTGGAAGGAGATTCTTTTTTATTTTTTAATTTATTTTATTTGCATTTTTCTTTTTCTTTCCTTTGAGTATCCTCAATGTAGTACCTCTTATCTCCTTTAATTTAGTTGTAATCTTAATTTATGAAAGGAAAAATAAATATCGGGAATAATTTATAATTTCTGGAAAAGAGGCCGCTATTCAAGTTTGTCATGATGTAATATGTTTTGCATTTTTTTGGGTTTTCTCCTAATTCTGTTATTTCCAAAAACCAAGAATAAATTAATGTATCCAAAAAAAAGATAGAATGGAAGAAGAAAGAAACTGTTAATCAGCAAAATTATACTTTGGTTTGTTTTTGAAAACCGTGAATTACTCATCAAATACCGGTTAAAATTACTTGTTTCTGGTAGCTGAATTTCTTTTTAGTTTTACCAACGAATGTTTAGATCTATCATGGCTTCTCTTGGTCATCACATTGTTATATTGGAATGCCTTTTTTTTTTTCTGTATTATGACATTTTTCTTGTGCACCAATAGAGGGAGATGGTGTATACTGAATTTTGTCAGGAGTTTGCTTCTGCACCAATCTTTTTTTTTTTTTTTTCTCTCATTTTTTACATGTTACATATTATATTTTTAAACGAAATCTTATAATATCATCTTAAATTAAAGAGTTTTATATTTTTTTTCCAGAAGGTGAGTTTTATCTAAATTAGTTAGGGATGGATGCACAAATGCTGTTGTGAGACTTATTTGGACTTGAAAATGACTGACCAGGACCCATGGAAAATTTGTAGGAATTTATGACATGTTCTGAACACAGTATTGTTCCATTTATATTTGAAACAAACAATGTAAGAACATGCATTAAAACTGCCTTGGAATCTGCTGCCCCACCCTGGCTTCTACAACGTATTCTTTATATATGTCCTTTAACCTAATGTGCATTGGTTTGTCAAGTTCTTACTGCAATCCTTGTTATTCTCTTGCATAGGACATCTAACTTGTCAAGCTAAGATCCTTATCATAGTGATTCAGGCTGAAGAGATTGTAAAGTACAATGACAATGGCACTCCTGTTAAAAGGCTGCGGAAAAAGGTGGTATTAGTCTATTCCAAAAATATAGCCGCGAGAAGCTTTTGGAACAAGCATTTGTCTCTCCTCAAAGAGCTGGGTAGTTTTGGGCAAGATCTCAACAAAGTCAGATCTGAGTACTTGGAGTCTTTCCAATTGGGGAGCAAGTTGACCCTAACTAATTGGATCGTTATTCGAATCGATGGCTGCCATTTCCACAGGTAATGTTTTCTTGTGCTTAGCTACTTAATTCTTTGTTGCTTCCACTGGCTCAAACAAACAATGTTTTCGTAGGCGTGCTAGTCAATGAAAGAATTTGGGCACGTTTTTTGATGAGATCCCCCATAGAAATTTTATAGTGTGATCATGTTTGTCAATTTATTTAGCTCTTTTTATTTTCCCTGTGAAATAAACAGGAAAATATGTTCACCATACGGGCCAAAAGTGGTTTAAGCTCTAGAATTTGATTTGCTTTTGTTGGAATTTTAAATGGTTAGAAAATGTCAAATTGAGTCATCAGCACTAGCATGATTCAACATAAAGGATAAAGATATCATGGTATTTTGTGCAGAATAAAGTAGACTAATTTAGTTGAAGTGTTATTGTATCTTTATTTGGGGTGAAGCAAATGAGATTATTAAGATAGAGTGTACTATCACTTTTGAGTTTCAACTCCAGGGAATATAAATTACAAATTACTGGTTACATCCCCCAACCATGCCAGTGTCAATTATGATGCATAGAGTGTTGTGCTTTGTCAGTCTGCTTATGTTGCAGCTTAAAGTCAATTATTTAGTTTCATTGCTTTTAATAGATTTGCTGAAGTTCATGAATTTGAGAAGCCCAATGATGAGCAAGCTCTGTGCCTTATGAATTCATGTGCGGTTGCTGTGTTAGAGGAGTTCAACGATATTGTCTTCTCATATGGAATGAGTGACGAATACAGGTACTAAATTGATTAGTAGTATCTTTTGTTAGTTTGTGCTTATGACCCTTGCCCTTTGGCATTTCACAATGTTAAATTTGTATCTTTCAGCTTTGTTTTGAAGAAGGATTCTGAATTCTATCAAAGATGTGTCAGGTATCCCTAACATCTTTTACATTTCAGTTCATACATTATTCACACTGTTTATAGAATCTATGAACGGGATAATACCCGAGTCAAGTTGAAACGACTAAGATCCTCTGCTCATTTACTTTCTGAGATTTATAATGTGCATACTGTACCAATTAAACATATTTTTCATGTCAATAAATTGGAGCTTTGTTCGGCATAACATAAGCTTGAGCTGGTACCTTTATTATGGAACCCATTCTAATTTGAGCAGTCCTCATGAACACTAAATAAATTGGTGGTGATGTCAAAAGTTTATGCTTATTTGACGAAGTCAGTTGAAAAAAAATCTTACAGTTCATTGCCCACTTTTCTTGTAGAAGAACAGGAACTACATGGAACCACTGTTGATGGATTTTGGTATATGGCGGGTTTTTTTTCTGTATTTTTGTGCAGCAGGCTGGGTGGGTTCTTTTTTGGCGCCTACAAAGGGATGATGATTAATTTGATAAATTTAAATTTATTAGTAGTGTGAATATAGTAAAACTATGGCTTTTTCAGGATTATTGGACGAAGCTCATGCTAAACTTTAGGCCTCCCCATTATTGTGATTTAAAGTTTCGATTAGAAATAGGGCTTTGCAATGGAAGGCTTCTTTTAGGAGCCAACATGGAGAAATGGACAGTAGCATTGTGTGAAGCATGAACTCTTATTTGGAAAAAATTCGTTGCAAGTTGTTTGAACTGCTTAGCTCAATTTTTGCACTTACTTCAGCAATCACTTTTGCAGTAAAGTAATCTCTGTCATCGTATCATTCTTCTCTTCCATGTACATAATGAAATGGAAAGAGTTCTTTCCAAAGAAAGAGTTGAAGTACCCCCCCTATTTTGATGGACGGGCTGTATGCTATCCCTCTGAGACTATTCGAGATTATCTAGCATGGAGACAAGTCGATTGTGGGTACCTTTCACTAATAAGTTTAAGATTTTTTACTATTAGAATGTTGCAAGTTAAAATTTCTAAGTGGAAAGCAAGTAGTTATGCCAAACATCCATTGAAAAATTGGTCATGTGTTGCCAACTATTTGGGATTGGCTATATGAAATCCTCTATCAAGGGCTGGTCTTTTGTTCTCACTGGTAACCTAAAATCATTCATCACCAGAACATTTTTTAAAGTCAATAATGTTACTTCTCTTTCCGGGATTGCAGGTCACATTAACAATCAGTACAATACTTGTTTCTGGATGCTTGTTAAGTCTGGCATGAGTAAAAGCCAAGCTCAACACAAATTAGAGGTGCTAAATTCTGATTGATTATTTAAGAAGCATGATTATTTAAAGAACATTACTTACTTCGTTGGCAGGTTCTCCCTGCACTTGTTTTTCCTTTCATATTGTGGTGCTATACTAGTTTCTTTCTATGTCATATGTTTGTAATTTCAATCAAATTTCTTCCTCTCCATACCTATATGGAAATTGCTTATTTCTGCGCTCTTATAAATGTGGGCTTACAAGTGAATTGGATTGAGCTGTATAGACTTGTAAGCATGGAGGTGCAAGTCAAGTAGTAAACCATTGGTTTCCTTCACACTAGCGGGGAATGCGCATAAAAAATAATACCTAGTTTAGTTTCTATTAATGAGGGTTTGGGACGGATGGATTAGGTACATGTTTAACCATTAGCATTATTTGCACAAATTGACTGCCCTCAGGTTTGAATCCACAACCTCAAGGTTATTGGGCCAAATTTGACCATTGAACCAATGGTGGCCATTAGCAGTGATTGTGCATACGCCTTACAGATGGGCATGTTATTGTGCTGAATGGGAATCCATCTTTGCTGCCCATTTGGAGGAGTCCATTTGAGAATATAAAATATTAGCTGTTGGCTTCAGTTCTATAATTGTGGTTATTGCAATGATTCCTAGACCTTATGTAAAAGTAGGGCATTAGATGCTAGGTACGAACACATATTTGAGATTCTCAGACCTAATGTAAAACTAAGAACATGAAAGTGCATCTGCATGTGTAGGTGATTTTAGTGGACTGAGCAAAGAGTTTGGTCAGGTTATGAACAACGGCCACTTGATTTAGCTGAAATACGAGCAAACCCATCGTAAACATGGAAGCAATCCGGTCACATATCAATGAGATCTTTTAACTGAAGTCCATCCTCAGTGCTGTGCGTTCTCAAGCTCTGGACCACCTTTCATTAGATGCATAGTTTAATCCCTAAGCACAACTGATGTAATTGGGCTTGCGTGTTGGGCAAGACATTAACCATGCGTTAAGAATAACTTGTACTAATAAGTTGTCCAGTTAATATACCCAGTGGCTGACATGGTGGCTGTGACTCTGCCTCTTCAAGATGTTGATGTCTCTGGTCCTAATCTGATAACTATTGCTCTTGACTGATAGACATAGAAAGGGTGAAATATGAGAGAAACTCAAACAACATGTGATTTAGAAACGTCACAGGTCATGTGAGGCGATCTCCATTTCTTGAGTAATGTCTATGGTCCAGGTCTGATGATTTCTACCCGACTACATAAAGAAAACATTGGATATAAGAAGCTCTGAAATCATTTGCATAATTTTTCCAAGAAAACATGATCTGGAAAAGTCAAAGCTTATGTAAAGGTAATCAATTCCTTCAGCGTTAGTGTTACAGCTTGTCGTTTGCATGATAATATTTCAAAATTTTAAAAGGTAGATGCATTTATGGGGAAAAATTAAGTGAAAAGTAAGAAATGGCACTTATATCAAAGCATTGTTCTAGGCTAATCTTATGGCAAGCTACAAGTATTGGTACACACGTCACAGACACTTCAGGGCTTCAGCTTGACGATTGTTCTTCTTGTCACATTGATGTAGAGTATTATGGGAGTGGCAAAATCTCTTTCCTTTGTCTTGTTTACACGTGGCTTAGGTGTAGAAGGGTGCAACTTCCTGTCAAACCTTGCCATTTGGAAAAGAAAAATGTGCACCCGCAAATTATTTCCATAATTTCACCTGTAAATGGGATGTGATTAATGTAATAATGGCCCCCCTAAGATACTGTGATGCATACCTATTAGTTTTTTCAATATGTTGCAGTAGATGATGAGATGTATGGCTTTTATGCTAAGAAATTTTTAGCTTTCTGGATATGTTTCTAGATTACTACTTCTGAAACAAATGCCGTTACCTACTCTGATCCCCATTATCTAATGATTCTGAGGGATTGGGTTGGATGCAAAACCCAACCTCTAGCATTACTTACAAATAGCCTGAGCTATTTACTGCTGCACTGGGAATAGCTCCTATATTTACTTTAGAAAATACCAGTGTTCAATTTCTTAGCCGTAAATCAATGGTGGTCTAAATAATTATCTAAAAAGACCAGTATAGTTAAAACATACTTTGCAAGACTTTTGGCAACTTCGGCTTCAAGTATCATCTATAATTGGGTCTTGTTTCTCTTCTTTTGATGCTTTTTTTTTTTGAATTCTTCTAATGGTTCTTGTATGGCATTTTGCCTCTGTAAGCTGTCAATGCCACTCATGTTATTCATTTTGCAACATTCATTTCATGTAAATCATTTTGTGAAGTTAATGAGTTGGTAAGAGCAAGTACCCTCATAACTATTGGATTCTCAATCCTGTATTTCCCTGTTAATTCTTTCGTTCTGCAGGGTACTCAAGCACAAGAGAAAAATGAACTGCTTAGACAGAAATTCAATATTGTCTACGATGCATTACCAATCATGTTCCGCCAGGGATCCTCTGTTTTCTGGGACAAGGTTACTTCTAATCTCTCACTCTCTCTCAAGACTCATGCAGACAAATTATAATTTTCCTTTTTATCTTTATTGAAAGAATATATAAATAAAATGTAATTTGTCTTTGACAGTGTTAATATAACACCTATCCGACTGTTAAAAAATTTCACCCATTGCCTTGCCAATCATGGTTTTCACACAGTAGCCTAAAAAAGGCCATGCAGACCAGACTCATTATACGGGCCTGATGTTTCACAGCAAACTTTTGTTCTTAGGTTAAACAACAAAGTGCTCATCACTAATTCCAGCCTCCTCTTGCAGTTGGGGCCACACAGACTCTGGTTTAGGCATGCCTAATTCATGGTTCTTGTGGTATAGGTTATGTGCCCCGATGGAGCACCAGATACTCTAATAGTTCCAGAAATTCTTGTGCTCATCAAGTCATCAATACCAATGATTTGAGCTTAATAAAACAGCCGGTTGAACCGCAAGGGAACAGGACCTTCTCAACAAAAGAGCTTAGCACACTTGGGTTTCTTTGTTGCTACCTTACTACTAGTCAAACAGATATATTGATATTTTTTTTTCATTAATGCAGGAGGAAAAGACAGTAATGGACGATGGAAGTGCTGTTGAAAAATCTCTCAAAAAAGTTGTGGTGGAGCACTGTAATATAATTGAGCCAAGCTTTTGGAAAGCACACCCTAGCATTCTTGGAGAAAGCACTTGTTGTATCTGCAATCTTAGCCTTTAACGACCCCATTGCTAAAATCTCTAATTTGTCTACAGTTTTCACATTGTAACTACTTAGCTTGATGGATTCTTAGTATTGAAGCGAGTATACAAGGGTATACATGTAAATTATTTGTCAGTTAATTGTATACTACTTGGAGAAGAAAATATTGAATGTAACGGTGACAATGGTGTGATGTCACCAACTAATGATACAATATTAGGTGGACTTAGTGGGTTCTGTTATTTTAATAATTACTAATAACTACCTTATTTAATAATTGTCATGTTGAAACAGTTGGATTCATCAATCTTATTTATTGTTTTCTAATTGGTTGATGATACTATGTGGCATTGATGATGTGGTATTCATCATTAAACTCTATATTTACTCTAGTCAGAGGATAATTGATAGAATGGAGGAAATTTTAGAGGTGGTCTAGATAATGCTAACAGAGGAATTTAACCCAAATTGGTGACAAGGCCAGTGGCCTCCTTAAGATCACAAAGCATGGAAGTTTTCATTTTTCAGCTTTGTTTGTATGGAATGATTTGGAGAAATGAAAAAAAAAATTGGACAAAGCCACGCTTTCAAACTAAAACTCAAAAAGAAAGGTAAGGGATTCCTCTTTTTAGGGAGTTAGGCGTTGCCGTATCGAGAAATTTGCACCCCTCGAAACACTTAGAAAATATTAGAATTTATTATCTAAGCACAAGTATGGGTTTTTTTCAGAGATGTAAATAACACTTGATCACGTGTCTTTTTTAGACCCGACTATACATTAAGAGTAATGTAATGGTTGCGACTTCTAATGATAAAACATAGAATTAGAAGAAAAAAAATTACATTTGTCATTTTTAGATCATGTGATATAATAAAATATAATTTAAGATTTGATATTTGAAAAGATAAAGGTGTTTGGATTAATTTATGCGCACTTAAATTAATAGTCTCTCTATTCTGGTCAAAGGTATAATAACATTCACGTTGGGACTAAGGTATTCATAAAGGTCTTAATCCTAAGGAGTTGTTAAAATTTAAATTCAAAACATATGAACTTATAACTCGTTTCTATTACCACTTAAATTATTCTCGACATTGTCAATTAATTTTAGAGCATGTATTATTACTCCTTTACTTTTTACCTTCCAATCCAAAAAAATTGGGTGAGGAGTCGCTCCGCTCGTTCAGTCATAAAAATTTAGCCCAACAATCATTAGATTATGGATTCAAAATATGAGGACACCTCCTTTGAACAAATAAATACTAAATGTGCTGTCTGTATTCGGTTCAACTCCTCCAAGTAGGCGTGTCAATGATTCGATAATCGAACAAATTTTATTTTTATAGTTCATATTTGAATTTAGTAAGAATCCAAAATTCAATCCGATCTAATCCGATTCAAATAACTTAACTAATTAAATTTTAGTAAATTATAACTAAATTTCTTAAAAAATCACTTAATTTCTTTAATATTTATATAAATAGTTTAAAACATATTACAATTGGATTGTATATCCGAATCCGTGCTATCAAATTCAAATTTCGGTTTAAATTATCGATAAAAAATATCAATCTCTATCTATCTAATCAAATTCGAGATCCATTGATAGACCAACCCAAGCAATAAGGACTGGGTTGAGTATCATCCTAATCTTTTTAATTGTTGGTCTTCTACAACGACAGTTCATTTCACTTTCTAAGTGGTAAAAGAATATCTTATTTTACGTCCTTTTACTTAAATTAATTGTATTTGACAGCAGAATCCAACACACAGCACCAGTGGTCTAGTGGTAGAATAGTACCCTGCCACGGTACAGACCCGGGTTCGATTCCCGGCTGGTGCATTCTTTTTTAAACACTGCTGGGCTGCAAAACTGTTTTGTGTTGAATACTCCCTTGCTCTTTTTCTTCAATTGTCTTGGCATCTTCCACAAAGAATTGGTGAATGTCTATGGTTTAGATTGGGAAAGAATTGATATAGAACCAGAGAATGGGGTGCAAGTTTGAGATGAATATCAAAATTTAAACACATTTTGATCTTGGTATACCCACAACATCTTCATAATGGAGTTATTGTGCTAGACACTACATTGCTTCATATCATACGAGTAATTTTCGAGAATATGCATGAGGAATCAACTTTTCAACATAAAATTGGCACTTAAAAAGAAAGGCGATGCAGCAGCAGCAACAGGGTGAATCTGAGGTGGAGTTTGTGAACCACAAAAATGTTGAGCTTCAGCAAAGTGGCTAACAGCAGACAGATTCTATTGTATCTGTTCTGATGTGTGTCTTCCATAACCACATCTTTTTAATAATTAGTTTCTCAAATTAGACCATCTGCCACTTCAAGTCACCAATTTTTATGACAAGCTTCCTTCCTGGCTATTCGTCCAAATTTAAGGTCTCGGCTTTAGAACTCTAGCCATGCTTAAACCGAAGACCATTTCTCATCTTGAACTTTAATCTCCGAATGCAAAGTTGAACCCTCTGGAAGCCCCAATGGTGGATCTTGACATGAGCAATTATCAACAGTAAATAGCTCCCATTCTTTGATACCACATCTATCCAACGCATAGTGTAAACTTGGCCTCTCACTCTCATTTGGGTACTCGCCATTTGGGCTAACAAGCACGGCCCCAGTATAAGACTGTCCTGCAACTCGTGCAGCTCCACTGTAATGAAACAAACCCCAGCTAAAATCATCAGAAACCTCAACAATTGTCCAGAACTCATTTGAGACCACCCCATTATCCAAGACACTGAAGTAAAACGTTCCTGGAGCTTTGCCTCTTTTTACTCGATATTTTCGCCGCCTCCAAACCAACTTCCCTTCTAGTGTCCTAACCTGAAAAACTGGCTCGTACCAGAATGATCCTCTTGCCTTGCCCCTATAGAATAGCTGGTACTGACATGGAAACTGATCATAAGCTGGATTCTGCCCTGCTACGACACACCAACTCCAATCCAAACTCCCCAACCAACCCACCAAAAGGTCCTCAGCAGTCGCATGACAGATGTCTTTCCCTCGGAACTTGGTCATCGGAGGCACATAAGGTTTTTCAGGGATCTTTGCATCCAACGCAAGACAATTGTTCTTTTGCAATACACACAAAGAAAATTCTTCAAGCTTTGGACTTTCATATGACACAATACATCGATAATTGCATACCTGATCAACTGGGCTGCACTGATTTAAGCATTGAAGAGCTTTCCGGCAGTTAGGATCCAACAGACAGTTCAGTACCTGAGGTCCACAGTTTTTTACCATGCAGTTCAGGGTAGAGAAACCTTTTGCTCTCAAATTCTGTAGGATTGGAACAGGCCTTATATAAGCATTGATTAAAACCAACAAACAGAACCTTAAGTCATCAGAATTATGCCTGTCCCAGGCCTCCGAAACAGTTTTGACAACTTCCACTGATTCATTTACTTTCTTTGATTGAGAAATTTGAGCTACTTTGCTGAATATGCTCTCTTTGGTTTCCCTTTGGATGTATGTTCCTCCGAGTTTGTTTGTTGCTATGGGAGAGGAATCAAAGCAGATTATGTTTGGGACGTTTTGGCTGTTAGCCTGAACCCACTTGACTGAATCTTGCTTTGTAACAGCAACGATCAGCAAAATATCTGCACAGGCAAGTTCCTTTTGAAGATTTTCCACTGTCCCACCATTTTGTTGAAGGAGGTTGTCAGTAAATACCAGCATTTCAAATCCTTCATCAACCCATTTCAATCTTTTTGCCTGCTTGCAGAGAAAAGAGTAAGAAACGGGTATAGAACCCTTCTTATGAACTATTGAACCAACAAAAAAATGGAAGGCAAACCGTAAACAACAACACGAATTTGTAGATATGTCATACTCATGGAGATGGAGGCTTACAAGTTACAACGTAGTCAGGCAATTAAATATCAAACCAGACATAAATGTTAACCATTATAAAGGTGAAGGGGTGAATTGGAGTGGTACAATCCAAGATCTCAAGGCATGAAGCTTTAACTTCCCCTACCGGTCACTATTCCTAATAAATCTATAAAAATAAGTTCAGGTCCCACACTGTGAGTATTGCTAGATGAGGGTGCTGAACTAACTACATAAGTGGCAAGAACTATTGACAATGGAAGCATCCATGGACATTTTATAGGTTGCATGGAGTGAAGATAACATAACTGTGGTCAACTGAAAGGACATCGTCCGGCAGAATCAAGGCCAGTAACTGTACTACTGAATATGAAAGTTGAAGGCATGAAAAATATAATAGAGACATCCCAAGTAAATTAAAGTTCGCTTCTTTATTGATACACGCAGCCAACGAAATCTTGTTCATTCTAAAAAAATGCACCCTTTGTTTATAACGTGGAATTTACTAGGAAAAGTTGAAAATCTTGCCCCAATGTTGCTAATATCATTTGTATTTTACAATGTTACTTGACCTAAAATGAGAAAAGCAGGCGAGATACATTCTAGACTGTTTGCAAATTGTACATGAGTTAAGGTTATGTTTTTCTTCAGTGGAATTGCCTTGAAGAGAACAGAAAATTGCATATTTCAAAGGCAGCAATGAATTGCTGCAATTAAATATGCAATATGTGTGCCTTCAATGTCCTAGTCAACATGGGAAGCATGAAAGCCTAACGAAAGGAAAATCTCCTGGCCACAAACCAAGAAGATGCCGAGACTCGAGAACATGTAAACAGCATGCTTATTTGTGAAACATGAAACCCTTAGTTTCAAAATAATTAATGGAAAGTGGAAACAACAAAAATATGAATCTTAAGCTGGCATGTAACTCTTGCATTGAGGAGTTGCGGTTTGTGATAACTGAGTGTCCATTTGGTTTTTGTAACAGTGTCGCCCTCTTCGTCAGTCTGAACATTAAGCCTTGCATGTTTCACCAACTGAATATTCAAAGGATTCAAAGGAACAATTGATAGGACTTTTGACAAGCACGTGCAAACCCTCTATAACTCTGCTCGTATTTTTTGTTGTAGAATTTTGTATTATCCCTCGTATATATTATCCTATGCACCTCTTCTATGGGTACCTTCTCTTGCTTGTTGGACTTCATATAAGTTTTCGTAGTATCAGAGCCCAATCGTGATCTACTACTCCCCTCCGACATTTAGACATCACCAAGTTATCCCATCTTGCTGACTTTGTGGTCCAGCCATCCTAGTCGCACCAAATCTTGGTCAAAAGAAATACCAAATCCAATCTTGAGCCATAAGCTTCTGTAACAACTCAAGCCATAATCTTTGCATAAGCCTCGTGCCTGATAAAGGATTAAAAAGTCATAACTAATACAGCCCCATATGGAGGGCACTAGGAGAAGTGAATTGTACACAGAGCTTGGATTTGACATGTTTACAAAAACAGATATCTTTCGAATTCAATCATTGTTCTCATGTTGACAGCCTGAGCACTTCAACTCATGTCTGGTATAAGATCTTTCCCAAAAGTTTGTTTGCACCCAGCCACCCACATAAACAAACAATACCCACCTAAACAAACAAAGAGAACAGTGAGAAAGAAGACATCTTCATTGCATACCAAGTTCTTCGGTTTCCCATAATTAAAGTATTTGGATTTCTTCAGCTGTTTAGCTCGCATATCATAACCAAAAATTATCATTGGTATATCCTAAAGATGCTAACGTCCTTGATCTATATTTTCTGCACTTTCAAGCCCAAAATTAAAATAAAACAAATTTGGGTAGTGATGGGACATTTCCAGACACTCCAAGATGATGACATGTATTCTCGGCGTCAATGGGTACTCGCCGATCAGATCACGACACGTGCGCGTCGGTCCATAATTCCCCCCTTCCCCCGAGGGACCATTCATAGGGATCAAGGATCCCCAGTATGGCATAGATCGACACGCATCCCTTGGTCAGTTTGGGTACATCGGCCCCTAGCGACGCTGGACCCTCGGCACCGAGGTATATCTGTCTACGAAGCATTTCTACTCCAGCAGGGGTTACTGATCGATGGGTTACAAACCTAAGCTAGGCTAGACTAGCTATCATGACATTGTTCCACTCAAATGGTGTCAGGAGGCACAAGAAGGCAGAAGGCTCAACCAAAGGGGAATGGACACGTGGCATATTGTGTTAGATCAGTAACAAAAAGACCAGAATGCCCTTGCTGACACACGATTTGGGAAAGCAAATATTTAATGCACCCTTCCCTTAATGAGACAACATTTAATGCATGAGAGCTCGGAAGTGAAAGGTAATAAATGTCTCAAAGCCTGGACATTTAATACACCCCTGCCGAGGGAAGATCATTAAACGTTTGGCAGACCAAAGAGAAAGAGTTAGTTGCTTGGGGTCCCGAGCAATAAAGATTAAGAACATCACTCATAGAAATTGGTGTTCACACTGCCTACCTCCAATGATTACCTACTAGCTACGCTGACAATAATGATGAGTTTTTAAGGTATAAATAGTTCTCACAAACACAGAAAAGAGGTACACAACAAATCCTCTCTCAACCATCATACAGTATTTTCTTCTTCCCCTCTCTTAAAGAACTGACTTGATCGTCGGAGGGAATACGCCGAAAAATACTCCGGCGCCCTTCTAACCTATTTTTCTTTGTTCCAGGAACCTCCTTTAACCTTCCAAGATCACTTAGGCGACTCATAAAAACGATTCATTATCCACCTTCGACCCTCACAACCTGTTCAAGCAACAAGATCGACCACCCAATTGACGGACACGTGTTCACCACGGAAGAGATCTGTTCTAGTGTTTATATTGTGCAGGATCTTGCACGCACAGGTACCTTACAAAGCGAGATTGTGAAGAAAGCCGTGGATAATCACTAAAATTTCCTTTTAACAAGAAACACTTCATGAAGACTTACTCCATCAACCCTTTTCCACGTTTTGCTCTGTAAGAATCAAAATTGTAATAGCCTTCTTATTGCCAACCACCAAAGGAAACCAAACACACACAAAAATTTGTACAATAATATAAAAAGATACTGATGAATATAATCCACCACTGAAGCTAATAATCAAAATTCACAGACATCCGCACACATTTATATATTTGAAATGAATATCATACCAATAGAATCCACCAATGAAGCTGATATATAAAATTCACACACGCACACACAGAGTAAGAGAGAGAGGGAGAGAGAGATTCTGGAAGAACAGCAGTATACTTACAGTGTGAAGCATAACCTCAACCCACGGTGCGGAGTTCATAGGACTCACGCTTCCTTCTCCGACGAGAGCTACTATTCTCACCAGAGGAGGCACACTTCGTTTCGTCACAGGCACATCAATTCCACTACTAGTCCCCAAAACCGCCGATATGACGGAGTTTCTCGAACTGAAACCGGTACTCCGTTGAGAAAACGAGGGAATGATAAACCGAGCTGTTTTCCGGCGGAGGTGAGAGGGAGTGAACCGGCGAGTCAGTCCCGAACCGGCTCTGAACTCTAGAAGAACCGGTGGCGCGACTTGGAGAGCCATGGTGGAGCTGAATCTCTAGAATGGTGAGACGGGTGTAGCGTTTTCGTCTACGGTACGCAAGCTATACAGTGTAAGAAGTTACGCGATAAGCCCAACAAAAACGACGCCGTTGAACGACTATATCTTTTTAACCATTTATATTATCGGGAAAAAAAAATTTGAGTTTTCCAATCAATTCAGTTTAATAGTAAGTCAAAATATAGGTATGAATATGATAATGTGTTTTTAATTTTTTGGAATTTCTTGAATAATTTTTAAAATAATAATACCACTAGGGATAACCCGTGCCTAAAGGCACAGTATAATTCAAAAATAATCAAACACTAAACTGAGACGCGTATTAAGCTGAAAATTTAAACTACTCCCATAATCCATGCTTGCAGAATCTGTGTAAGTAAAAAAAAAAAATTATTTTTTTAACACGAAACAATCAAACACTGAACATAGACATGCATCAATCTAGTATTCTCTATTTTTTAAAAAAAAAAATGACAGAATTTCATCTAAAAATAATAGCCCAAGAAAATCTCAACTCGTATACAAAGGTTATATATCTCATAATTATACTAAAAACAACATCATAATATTAATTATTCATGTCACAATCCTTCCTCTAAATAATAATTTACCAACAAAAATAGCATAACAATTTGCCAAGCTAATATCCGTGCCTAAAGGCACCATTCAATGCAAAATTATCACCAATGAAAAACAAAATAAGGGTACATTAAAATAAGTTAACTCCATTCGAGTTTTGGTCAATTGTAGATAAGTTTAAATCAATCTGGAATTATTAATTTTCAAATAATTTCAAAAAAGACATCTCCAAAAATACGACTCCCTAATTGACGATATAAGATTCCTTAGTTATGAAAAGAAATTACAGTCCAACCGTTAAGTGATCAAGCTATCAAAGCAATTACAACTTTGTGTGACTAAATCTACATGAAGAAATGAAATACAATGAATTAGTCACATCCACAAGAGACAAACCAGACAAAGAGAAAAAATAAAAAGAAATCAAATTCCAGTGCACATATATTCTTAAACAAATTTCATAGGCAATCTATAATCTATAATATAAAACAGAGCAGGGCTTCAACAAGCCGATCGGACGATCTTCATTCATCTAAGGCTTCAACATCCAAAGGCTCACAATACATCTCATTTAAATTCAAAAGTCCATATATTTCCCCCCTAAATCCATCTCATTCAACTTAGCTCAACCCAACCATCACATCCAACCTAACTTAACCAAACTCATCCCAACCCAATATCTATTCTCTCTCATGTCCTCTTCCCCCACAGATTGGCTCTTCTCCCGTATCTGTTCTCTCTCACGTCCTCTCTCTCCTAACGGCTCTTCCCCATATCTAGGGATGTCAGTGGATCGAAGCGGGGGCGGGGAGTGTAGTCTTCATCCCTGTACCCGCTTAAAAAAATTTTGTCCACCCCCGGTTAACAAGTATAATTTTCATCCCCATCCCCGTCCCCGTCCCTGCTTCCCTATACCCGCTTAAGCTCAAGCGCAAGCCCAAGTAGCATAATCCAAAATTCTAAATAAATATAATATTTTAAATAATCCAACAACATTCTAAATAATCTAGTGAATAATCTAAATTACAAAATGTAAAAGTCAAAACAATATAGTACTCTATTTAAAGTGTCATTGGACCACAAAAAGAGAAACGGAACTATTAAAGAGAAAGGAAGAAAAAAAAATAAAATTGAACTAAGAAAACGATAGCACTACACTTGAAGTTTCCTAGAAGAATTTTTATTATTACAATTTATAAAGTGTTAAAAGATGAAAACTTAAAATTTCTCTAATTCAATAATTCTCTCAATTTCTTAGTTCACTCTAGCAGAGAAACTCATCAACCTACATTCACAATATTTCTATCCACAATGAAATGTAAAACTATCTTACTCTCTCTTATCTATTTTTAGAGCATGATCAATCCAAACTCCTAACAGTTTCAATCAATGAACACAAATAGAAAAAAGAATAATCAGAAAAAAAAGTTGATAAGATTACCACATAGTAATGTCACTTGTTAGTTTCATTACCATATTTTTAGATTAGTAGTTACAGTAAATATGTTTAGTTAAAGCTTGTGAGTATATATATATATATATATATAACGGGTAGCGGGGGTGGGGAGGGGCGGGGTAAGGGTAAGTTCATCCCCGCCTTCATTCCCGTACGGGTTTATACAGGTATTCCCGTATACGTCCACCGTCTAATAAGTATAATCCATCCCCAGTCCAAACGAGACGAGTTTAGACGAATACCCGCTTTTCCCCGGTCCACTGCCATCCCTACCCATATCTCTTCTCTCTCATTTTCTCTCTCTCATCTCAATCTCTTCACTGTCAAAGAGCAGGCGGCGAGACAGTGGTCACTTCCCCAAAATTCATGGCATGGTCACTTCCTCCTCCCTTCCTCTCTTTTTCCCATCCCCATCCCTTGCCCCTCCCCCTAATTTTCTCCCCAAACACACAAACACGCAGTCTCTCTCTCTCACCCTCACCAAATCTAGAGGCAGAGCCACCATAGCCACCGCACCAGAGCTAGAGAAACCGCGCCACAACGCCCTCTTCTCCCAGGTAGCCCTCTTCTCTTCTTCTTCT